TCTTGAAAAGATTGTGTTTTGGTGTAATATTTATTTATTGTATGTTGTGTGCATTGGTTGTTTGTTAGAAGGGAGTAATGCTGAAAATCTCAAGGATCCAGTTGCAGAAAGTGCAATTAATGGTAGGATATTTTACAAAGACTTGATTTTTTTATTTCTTTGTTTTAGGATTTTCAAGATTTTGGATATTGATCAAGATGATTTGTTTCTTGAAATTTTACTAGGCAGAGACATATTGGGATTTTCATTAACATCTCCTGATTTAGTGATCTGTACTGGATCACCGGATATTCCACGACGAAGCTATGGAGATTCACCCGAATTTCTGAAGGGTTGCTCCATTTCTCTAGAAAATGGAATTAAGGGATCTGAACAGCCCCCAGTTATTACAAAGGATGAAGATTTGTGCCTGCATTTTGAGCTTCCTTCTCTTTCAGTGCCTATAGTTAGCATCAGNAATAATATGACTGAGGTTTGGGAAGCCTTACAAACTGGTAGCAATGCAAGGGCAGTTGGATCAACCAATGCAAATGAGCACAGCAGCCGATCACATTGGTTTGTGCATCGTAATTTATGGAAGGTTTTCATTTGTTTACACATTATGTCCTCAATTACTAATCAGAGACATTTTTTATGTGTGTGTGTGTGTAGCATACTTTGTGTAATGGTAAAGGGGGAGAATTTGCTAAATGGGGAATGCACAAGAAGCAAACTGTGGTTAATTGATTTAGCAGGAAGTGAGAGGATAGCAAAGACAGAAGTACAGGGTGAAAGGCTAAAAGAAACCCAAAATATAAACAGATCTCTTTCTGCCCTTGGAGATGTGATATCTTCACTTGCAACAAAGAGTCCGCATATTCCATTCCGGTACTTGCAATACTCACGTGCAAATTCTCAATTTATTTGGAGAAATATCTTGCTCTCTGATTTTCTTTTCTTTTCTTTGTCTAATAGGAACTCGAAACTTACTCATTTACTCCAAGACTCACTAGGTATTTCCCTTTGACTTGCTTGAATCATGAACTTCAGAAGAAACTATAAACAACTAAGATTTCATAAGTCCTTCTAATTTACAGGAGGAGATTCAAAGACATTGATGTTTGTTCAGATCAGTCCAAATGAGAGTGACTTGAGTGAGACTCTTTGCTCATTAAATTTTGCAAGTCGAGTTCGAGGTATAGAGCTAGGTCCAGCAAAGAAGCAAGTGGATAGTATGGAGCTCCTGAAATACAAACAGATGGTAGTGTAAATTTCTCTCTTGAAATTTACATCCCTTTGTTAAAATTTCCACCGAACTAATCATTTTCCTGCCTTATGGAAATTTTATTTACCTTGACAGGTCGAAAAGGGAAAACAAGACATGAAGAACAAGGACTTTCAGATGAAAAAGATGGAGGATACAATTCATGGTTTGGATATTAAGTTGAAAGAAAAGGATATGAAAAACAAAAATCTTCAGGACAAGGTACGAGTTGCAACTCTTAACAGATATGTGAAGCATGTTATGTGAAGTTTGTGTGGTCATATGAGTATTTACCTAATTAGTCTTATCTATATGATGTGCAGATTAAGGAACTAGAATCACAACTTCTTGTAGAGAGAAAACTTGCTCGACAACATGTGAACTCTAAAATTGCTGAACAATTTCAGCAACAGCTTATTGGACAACCGAATGAGGAGCAAGAAGCTGCACCGACCAGGCCGCCATTTGCCAACAAAATTTCTGCTCAAAAGACTTGTGATGAAAATAAGTATCCACCACTTAATACTACTCGACCGCTTACTGAGAACAATTTCCACAAACTCTCTATGGCTTCTGCTACTGTGGATTGTCCGTTTAAGCAAAATGGCCTGATAGAAAAAGAAAACAAGGAAAACAATCCAGATATTGATGAACAAGTAGCTGTTCTGAAGAGGACTGGGCGAGCTTCTATGTGCCCGATTGCAAACAGGATTTTGCCTAAACCTGCTCCACGCCGTAACTCTCTGGTTCCACTGCGCTATGTAGCACCTGTAACCAAGTTTCCTCCTTCACTTTTACCATTGAGATCAATACAAGCAGAGGAGACGGAAGATGCTGAGGGGGTCGATTCAAATTGCTTACCTGAACCAACACCACAGTGTAGTCCTAAAGAGCTTAAGAGTGTGAGTAAGAAGCTCAACAGTGTCTTGAGACGAAGCCTTCAGAAGAAAATGCAGTTCAAGTCTCCACTGCAGCAGTACATAAGAAGAGTTGGCGTGAATGTGGGCGCGGAGAAAGTTAGGGTCTCCATTGGTAGCAGAGGAAGGATGGCTCACAGGACGTTGCTTGGTAATGCGATAAGAGTTCCAAAAGAAAATCAGCAGAAGCAAAGATGGAATATTGGAACAGCTGCAAGAGCAGTTCTATGATACTGTTTCTTTACTTCCTTTCATCTTGTTTTCTGTTCAGAACAAGGGCTATGCTTCTTCCTTGCACACGCAGCAACACGTAGCGAAAACAAAACCAAAAAAAATATATATATGTATAAGAAAGAAATGGCTGTTGATTTGTTTGGATGATGCTTATCATCTGCTGAAAGTATTTTGGAGTTGTTTGATTGGTGTAAATGCTTAAAAGATTGGTGTAAATGCTTGAAAGATATATTATGCATGGATCATTAGGACAAGACATGTTTTTTCATTAATGCATGCAACTCACACTGATAACACATATACAAATTAGCTGAACACTCTCTCCTAATGTAACCCCGTCATCGCATCCATTGAAGCTTGTAACCATTACACCCTTTCTTGAACACTAGTGCTGCAGCCTGCATTTCTGCTTTTCTTTCTCCCTGGTGGTGGGTGCTGCCTCCCATTTTTCTTTACGAAATTACAATAACTAGTAGAAAAGTGGTCGTGCTTTCCATGGTATGGTGTAATCAACTCTCACGGTGTAATTAGTACTATAATTATTAGCAAGTTATTCTTTGAACTTCACCAACTTGAACTAACACAATATTAATACCAACTAAAGAAACAGGCCAAAGTCATGCATTTATTTTGAAGGACAATTATGCAATAGGCCAACCCCACCCTTCTGTTTTACGTAAATGTGTTTAGGACAATACTTTTTACCAACTTACACAAACACACACAAAAAAAAAAACATTTATTGAAGGAATATATTTTCCGTGGAAAATATTTTCCTTTTATACCAATATCACCGAGGACTTATAAACAGAGGCGGATGTAGAATATATCTGTCGGGTTCATTTGAACCCAGTACTTTCGCCGCTGAGCATAAATTTATGTGCAAAAATTTATTAAAATTACAATAAACGGTAGGATTGAATTCATAACTCTAAAAATACAATGGGTTCAATGTTAAAAACCTTAAAAGTTGAACCTACAGAATATAAATTCTGAATCCGCCTCTACTTATAAATAAATATCTTGATTATTGACATAGACATTTGAGCAGAACAAAAAAAAAGTAGGGAGAATACATAAAATGACACCTGAACTTGTACCCCAAATCCCTGTTACATACCTGTTGACCACGAGAATATTTTCAAAAGTGAATCTATTACACATCACTTTGATATTTGATCACTTCTTTTAAATAGGTGTATGTCACGCATCAATATTGTCATGACATATGTCATTAAGTTAAAAAATAAAAAAAGTCCTCCAGCAAAGTTTTAAAAAATAAAAAGAAAAGGAACCCAAGTAAAAGAAAAAGAAAAAGAAAAAGAAAAAGAAAAGAAACTCATCTTCTTCTCAAGACCAACCACCATGGCTGTGCCCACCTTCATATTAATCCCATCTACCAAAATTTTTAAAATCAAGCTCAGACTTCTTCAAGTCTAAGATCCAACACTTAAATTTAAAATATTGTTCTTTGGCATTCTTCAACAAGTTTCGGTCTAACTCTCAATTCATCTCCAAATGAGTTCCAACTTGAAATGGAGCTTCCAATCAACAACTAATTCAGTATCCAAATATCAATTTTAGTAAAAAAATAATTTCACATAAACAATTTTAGTACTGTTCTCTTGATTTTTCGGGCCAATAATTGCACTTTTTGAATCAAAAATTTCTGGGTCTAATTGAAATCGCACTTTTCGAGCCAACAATTTCACATCAACCTCTTGATAATCCAAAAAGTGCTAAAAGTTTGAAAAGTGACCCCAAAAAAAAATAGAAAGAGGTTCTATGAGCATTAATGGAGGAAGAAAAATGAAGGATATGAATAAAAAATAAAAAAGGGAAAAAGTTGGATATGTGACGTTTTTATGAGGCTTCATATGTAAAACTTTTTAGTTCACTCGCTTTGTTTGTGTGTAAACGACGCCCAAAAAAGTACTCTTTTTTTGTTGAAAAAGAAACAAAAAAAGAAAGTACTCTTTCTACAACATGAAAAGAAATTACTCAATTTGTTGAAATAAAAAAAAATACTTTTTCTGCATCATGTAAAGAAAGTACATATTTTGATGAAATTTAAAATATTTTTCTACATCATGAAAATAAAATATTCATTTTGTTGAAATGAAAAAAAAAGTTCACCTAGTAATATTTCTATTTAGGGTGGGGGGTAAAGCAGGGGTTGGGTGGGGGTAGGGTACGATGTGTAGT